TCCTTCCTCCTGATCCACTCCGGATCCTGTGACCTCAGACCCCACTTTTTCCAAGATGGCCGCCTGAGAGCAGATTTTACACCTCTCGGTGGAACTAATCCGACACCTCACCGCTCGAACACCTCCCTTCTAACTTCCAGGAGGATGTCGTGACAACGTAGGCCGCGTTTTCTCTCGTTTTAAGTCGAAACTGCCGCGGCCATGGAGTGAAACCCGACCAGGTGAGAGGACCAACCACCACCAGACCAGGTTGTTAGCTCCATTAGCCTGTTAGCATGCCCAATTACCTTCTACTGGCTAGCCTTAGCTTTAAGCGCTTTAAATCCAGCTCACAGAGAGCAGGAGACGTGTCAGTAGCAGCTATTTACAGAGTTCATGTATCTAGCTAAAGATACCTGGCTGGGTTTTACCCCATTTTATTCTAAATTAGGCTCATTATGGTGGAATTTTAGCGAACGTTACCTGCCGTTGGTTCTGTTTGTGTCAGTTGGATAGCTTGTCTGCTAATTTAGCTAAAGGAGGAGGGGGCGTAAAGTACATTCACTACAACAGAAAAAGGGGCTCCTAAGGCTAATATTCAACATTTGGTTGGTTTAAACTGTTTAATGTGGTCGTCCAGGGGGAAACAACGACGTCTGTGACCTGTCAGAGACACGCTACGGTCTGTTTTGTACGGTGGCCCGGAGGGGCGAAAGCCGCATGAAAACCACCACAACACTTTACAAAACCAGCCAAACATTTAAGGAACAGTCTAATTTTTTTTCCACAGATGCTTGATAGTACGTAAGACTAAAATAGTAACAGTTTTCTGCTTGATGGGCAGCTTTTCAGCTCCAACCCTCCATTACTTGAGCGGTGCTGATGATTAACCATAAGGCTTGCTTCCTCTTTATCCATAAATATTTAGCTCCCATGGTGACTGGTTACTGAGTGACACACGAGAGCTCATTGGTTTTCAGATGAAGCACACTGTGGAAAAAGGAGGGATTTCTGCTGTGTAGGGTTCTCGAAATAACCTGTTTGTGGTTAAACCAGTTTTAGTCACTTTGGCAGTCTAAAACTGAGGAATACGTCACATGTTGTTAACAACACAGCCTGATGTAAAAGGTGGTTTTTGGTAGCTTTATGCTGTTACGCTGCTTCATCAGGGGTGTCCCAACTCCTAATACACATATAATTATTATGCATACCGCTGCCCTTCTGTCAGACGTTTTAAAACTTAACTGAAACATGTTAAAGTAAAAAAAAATCGAGAACTTTTAATGGATGTCTACCCTGTTTGATGGCTGACTCTTATGAATCCAGGGCTTGTTTCAGCATTTATAAAGACCTCGTTTTTATTATTAAATACATATGTGTATGTAGGTTTTCTTTTAGGGGCTTTAATGAGATTTCAAAGCTTTTTTGACCTTGTATGCTGCTCATTTAGAGCCTTGTCTTTTATCCTAACATGAACCATTCCCTGTTTTGTTATGTTCTGTAATTTTGTGGGTTTGCGACGTGACAACAGCCGCATTTCAGCGTCACTAATAGTCCTTGCATGTTGTTTCGATTCAGAACTTGATGTGAAAGTTGAGGTGGGCCTCATTTGAACCGATGTTCCGGCCGATTGGGTCCGGTTTCTTCCCGTGACGCTGGCTCCAGGTGGCCGACTGAAGCAGAGATAATTAACGGCCAGGACCGAGGGAACATCACATGACTCGAGTTTGCTGTAAAACCGGGCTGCGGGTCGTAAATAATCAGTAATGTGTGACTTCTTAACTACAGAGAGGATTGGTTCTGCTGGATATCCAGAGCAGAAAAAGCCTGTTTTAGAAAAACTAACATGCATTTCCAAGAGTAAACAAGAAGCTATGGGAGCCATATATGAGGATCATAGGGACTTAAGGTGGAGCTTATTAATGAGTGTCTTGACTATAGTTTCTATCCATATATTGCCTTCTTATTTTTCTCTGGCTTAATCTAAAGGGGTATGTATATTTTTGGAGCTAAACAAATGCAGGTTTGAATGATGAGTGTGTAAAAGTACATGTTTTAATGTTTGTTGTCTGTAGGTTTGTTGTGATAAAAAGAGAAAATTCAATAAAATATATTGGAGGAAGAAAAAAAAGACAGCCTGTTTCAAACAGGTCAACCCCCCCTCCCCACTAATGTCTGCCTTATAGTCGGTATTAAAGGTGACCAGTGATTCCTCTTTTGAGCCCTTTTTCCACCCACACTGGGTCGTGTCCAGGAGCTCATGCAGATGAAACAACTTTTGAAGTAATTGTCCTTCACTCAGCGGGACTTCAAAGCTTTTTTTTTTTCTCTGGTTGTTTTTCAGGGAATCGGAGGGACAAAGGGCCCTTTGTCTTTGCCCAGCATGGACAGCTTCTTCAAGGCGGCTGTTTGTGATCTGGACAAACTGCTGGATGACTTTGAGCTCAATTCAGGTGAGATCACGTCACATTTATTCTGTTTATGCTAAATAAATAGAAGGTTATCCAATCAAACCCTGTTAATCAGATTAGAGCCTCAACACGGATGTTTAGGTTCAGAAAACCACCCCACGTGGATTTAAAGGGAAAAGGTTCGTCTGTTAACGTCACATTTACAAGGAGAGGAAATACTTTTTTTTTGTTTATGGCGGTTAAATATTCTTTTGCTTTTTAATGAGATTTGCTTTTTTTCTTTTAATGAAAAGTTCATGAAAATGCTCCTGAGTCTACAATTTCCTTCAGGATAAATAAAGCCTTCACCATCAGTCAGTAAACATTTTAATTAATTGATAATTAATTATCATTTTATTAGATTTTTTTTAACTTTCCTTTATTCAAAAACTGCTATAAATAAAAAAGATCATTCCTCAGACCATGTTTTGCTCTAATTCTGATAGTTTTTCTTAATTAAAAAAGAAGCTTAGATCAGTAATTTTGAAGTAAACGGAAGCTTGAAAATTATCTTGATGGCTGTCCGGCCACTAAAATAAGCTTTCAGAAAAAAGTGTTTTAAAGAGCTGTTTGGGGTTTGTTTCAAACGGGATGAATGCTTTGTGAGCTCAGGCCCGTCCTGAAGTCAGGACTGAAACACCTTTTGGAGCAAATTTAAATAGTTTTGGCTCTTTGTGTTAGGCATGTACTAAAGTCTAAAGTTATTTATCTACTTACTTAGTTGTCAGACTCATGTTGAACAGGGATTTACTCTGATAACAACTTAATGGTTAGGACACAGACCTGTGGGTTACACATGCTAATGCTAATGCTCGTGTGGGATTTGACTTAAATAAAAAACTGGATCTGGAGTCTGCATTTTCTCCTGTCAGGATTTTAAAGCCGTTTTGGGGGTTTTTAAACTGTCTTGAGGCTTTTAAAGCTGTTTAGGGGGATTTAAAACCTTTTGTGGCTTTTAAAGCTGTTTAGGGGGATTTAAAACCCTGTTTTGGGGGCTTTAAACTAGTAGTCTGGATCTGCATTTTCTCCTCCGGCCCATACACATTTTTTTGGGAATATCGGCGGCCGATCCGATCCAGATATCGGATCGGGACGAGCCTAGTTTAGCTTGTAGATGTTTCAGCTTTAACACTGAAACATCTGTCGCACATCTGTCCCTCAGCGTCTCTGGAAACCTCATTTCTCTGGTTCTGTGTCTTTTCAGAGGAGCTCGAATGCAAACCGGTGTTCCTCAAGCTCTCCCCTCAGTGTCTGCCCCCGGAAGCCCCCCCCCCCGGCCCCCCCCCCGGCCTGCCCGACCTCAGCTCCCTCCGCTATGGCTCCGCCCCCTCCGGTCAGAGCCGCGGCGGCGAGGAGGAAGTGGCGGAGGTCGGAGGTCAGCCGCTGACCGGCGTGGACCTCCTGTCCTCGGTGGGCCGCGGCCCCCCCCGGAGCTCCGCCCCCCCCTGCCCCGACCGCGCCCTGAAGCCCGTCTGCGACCTGGTGAACGACACCAGCGCCGCCATCTTGGTCCGGACCAACGGGCAGGACGCCGTCAGGACGCCGGAGGGGGCGGAGCAACAGGAGGAGGAAGAGGAGGAGCAGGAGGAAGAGGAGGAGGAGGAGCTGCTGGTGGACTTTGACAGCCCGGTGGAGCTAAGGGGGGCCGGAGGAGACCAGGATCAGGATCCGGATCTGGGTCTGGATCTGGACTCTGGGGGCTACTCGGCCTCTCTGAGTCTGCTGGACATCATCCTGCCGGTGGCGCCGGACCGAAGTGGCGGCGAGCCGGACGAGGACGAGGACGCCGGCGTGTGCATGGACGCCGCGGAGGAAGAGGAGGACGAAGAGGAACAGGAGAAGAAGGAGGAGGAGAATGAGAAGGGGGCGGAGCCTCCGGCCTACGAGGAGGTCGTGAGGTCGCGCGGGGCCGAAAACGGCGAGGAGCGGCGGCGTTCTCCGGAGGGGCGGCGTGCAGAGGCCCCGCCCCCCCCGGCGGAGGCCCCGCCCCCCGACGGCCCCCAGCGCAGCCCCGTGGACCCGCCCGAGTTCGGGTTCGAGTTTCTCCCCGAGAGCGACCAGGCGGAGCTGCTGGTCACCGACGAGGAGCTGGACGCCTTCCTGCGGGCGCACGCCGAGGCCGAGCGGCCGGGCGCCGCCTCGCGCTGCGGGGGAGGGGGCGGGGCCTACGAATGCGGGGGGGGCGGGGCCTACGAATGCGGGGGGGGCGGAGCCTACGAATGTGGGGGGGGCGGGGCCTCTGCCGAGGACGCCGACGGCGCCTCGCCGGAAAGTGACAGAGCGGTCGGGGGGGCGGCGAGTCCTGAGGACGCATCTGAAATAAGCTCCGCCCCCTCCAGAAACCCCCCAGAGCCCCAAACGGCGTCCTATGGCGGCGCCCGACCCAAACAGCCGGCCTGCCAACCCGCCAGGCCTCCAACAGCCGGGGGAGAAGAAGAAGAAGAAGAAGCAGAAGCAAAAGCAGTAGAAGAAGAAGAAGAAGAAGGAGAAAAGGCAGCAGAAGAAGCAAAAGCAGCAGCAGGAGAAGAAGAAGAAAAAGAAGCAGAAGGAAGAGGAGAAGCAGCAGAAGAAGAAGAAGTGGCGTTGGCGTCCCCCCCGGAGGACGAGGAGAGCCCCCCCGGTTTCGGGGACCCCGGCGAGCTCTCGGAGCCGCCGCCGTACCCCGGCGAGCCGGCGGCGGCGGGCGTTGCCGTGGTTGCGGGGCCCAGCTGGAGGCGGGACGGCGAGGAGGAGCTGGGCAGCCGGCAGCCCGCCTGGGTGCCCGACGCCGAGGCCCCAAACTGCATGAACTGCTACCAGAAGTTCACCTTCACCAAGAGAAGGCACCACTGTCGAGCCTGTGGGAAGGTGGGTCCCCCCCCCCCCCAATCTGAAACAACTCCCCCAAAACGACCATTAACTCATTGGCTGCCAAAGACGTCTATAGACGTCTTTTATGTTTTTCAACGAGAGTGGCTTGGGGGACGATCTGCTAAAGCTTGTCCGT